TATATATATATATATATATATATATATATATATATATATATATATATATATATATATATATTTAGTAATTATGCTATTTTCCAAATATAATTATATATTTGCTATATATGCTCAAATAACTGAAATCTTTCCTGCCAATCTATCAGATGCAGTCAATATTCTCATTCTCTGTTATATATCATCATCTTTTTTTTCTTTTAGAGTGACATTTATCTAATATTACCATCATACCTTGCTCTTCAAGGAACTTCTTTCTGTTTTTACAGCCCACATTTTATTTTTATACATCATTGCTTATGTCCAAAAAGTTTTCCAATAATACATCTTTGAACATATATTTATATAAAGTTTGTTTTACATATATTTTAATAATTTTTTTTTTTTTAACCTTTTCAGTAATGCAATTTAAAATTTGAAAAAAATTCTATTAAATTGTGAAAAAAATTCCATTAAAATCATATGAAAGCTAAATGCCAACTTATCAAAATGCTAATTTATAAAAATTCTTTTAAAAAATATTCTCCTATCCTAAATATTTTTGCAAAATAAATACCGGATTTTTAAAGTATGACCTTGATAATCACTGTTTATTTAACATTAAAACACCAATATAAGTGCAAGTTATTTATAGCTTTAATAAAAGACAAATTTTTTTCTTTTAATTTTAACTTATTTCATATTTTCTTAGTTTTCAAGTTCCGATTCAAAATTGTTTTGAAGCAAAAATAACAATGGTTTGATAAGTGGGTTTGTAATTTATGAAGAGATTTTTTTGTTCAAAAGTGTTGCTGCACTTTTTTTTGCAAGAGAGTTACACATTTGATATCTTCCATAAGAATAAATTTTTAAAGGTTTTCTTCAATGATAATTATTTATTTGACCATTTACACCTGTTTACTCCTCACAATTTACTTGGAAAGTACCACAAATAAAATCTTATTATTAATCCCGATAAAACAAAATTAACAAATGCAAGGCTTGAATGTTTTGAATGCACTCTAGAAATGTAAAAGTTTCAATAAGAAGAAACACATGACACTGAATAAGAAGAAGTTAGGCAAAGATGGCTGATGTCAAATAAAGTATTTTGTACATTAGAGCTGAACACATGTTTCAGCAAACACCAATGAAAAAATTATTATATTAAAGAATATTTGTAGAACTTGTTTATTTGAATATTGCATAGAAAAAATCCATTTTATTAAAAAGTTGTACATATTGACCCTATCAGATTTCTAGGTATGTGATATTTGCAGTAGTTCTATGGTTAATTATCAAATTATAACCACTTATTTAACAATTTTTTTATTGTATATTTGTTGTTTTAAAGCATTATTTTTCAAACCCTTTATCCAACATTTGAGATACATTTCTCAAACGCTGTTTCCAACATTAGAGATAAATATACTAATTGACACCATTAGTATATTTATCTCTAATGTTGTCTTCATCCCTTTTCAAACTTGAGACTCTGGTTCCATTTCACCATTTAGAAAGTAAATTATTTTTATAAATTATATATATTAAAAAAATATATAAGCTTTTTTTTTAAAAACCTTTCTTTTTTTTGGGTAATAAATTTAATAATATCTGCTTCAAAATTCAAATTATTTTCAGAAAACATTACTCCAGCCTTATATCCTATCGGGTGGAACTTGCGTTCCAGCTGTAAGTGTGTTTTTATTTGTTATTTGAAAAAAAAAATGTTTTTAATATTCTGGGATTAAATCTTTAAAATTTAATTCTTTAAAATAATGATGTTTATATTTATATTTAAATTATTTTCATATCATGTGAAATTATTATAACTAATGATAAAATGATAATGATAAAGTAATATGATTCTTCTACAAAATTTTTGGCTTGATATTTTAATTATTCTCACATTTTGTATGTGATTTTTCAACAAAATTTTTATCTTCAGTTTCTTGTTGTTTTTTTCTTATAAATTAAAATAAAATAGAAATATAATTAACATTTTAGGTCATTTTTTTTAAAAAAAAATTAGAAACTTGTTTGTTGCGTTATGTGTGTGAATTATGTTAAACTTGAAAATTAAATTGTACATGATAAAAACCATGATATTTTTAAATGTTGCTGCCTACATATAGATTTTAAATTTTTTTTTACTTTTTTTTGTCCTTGTAAAAATAATTGTTGAATAAATTGCTTTCTAAAGAATAACATTAGATTGTTGTTTTTATATTGAAACGGCAGGAATGTTTAAAAGCTTTTAAAGTAAGAAATTATTTTTATATTTTTACGTTATTTAACATTTATATATTTTTTTGTATCATTAGATAAGCAAACAACACAGTTTTAAAAGTTTCAGAGGTTATTAATTGTTTAAATTTTACAAAATTTTCTTTACTCATGATTTTTAAATATTTTAAATAAATTTACAAAAAATAATAATTGTAATATAATCATGGAATTTTTGATGAAATAGAATTAATTTTTACTTTTTTAATTTATCAGGTTTTGAAACTTATGAAAAATGAA